TGCTTGGGCGGCTTGCGCATTGGCTGGTGCGTGTCTGCTTGAAAGAAATTTGTTGATTGGGGCTTATACGCTTGTAGTGGTAAGGTGAAGGTCGATCGTGGCGTGGCTTGGGAGTCGGGTCTGAGTGGTAGACGCGGCAGGCGTTACTTGCCGTCTGGGTGAACAAAATTCTGGCTGTCGTACTCGTTGAGGAATCTGTGCCGGCCAGGTAGCAGAAAATCGTCGTTTGGGAATCTGAAGGTGCATGTGTTGGCTGCTTCGTGGTTGTATACTGCATGGTGCCAATGGTCTTCTTCTTGGCATCCCCCGTCTGCGTCGTTGGCGCAGTGACAGTAGGCAGTCCAGCCGCTGGGAAGGCACATGTCAAGGCACTTGTTGGGCTTGAGCGGTGATAGGCAAATTTCGTTTACAAAGCAGATGCTTTGCTCATCTTGGCCCATGGGTCGCGCCTGTCGTTGTTGCCTTCAGATTTGGTAGTGTCGTAGCACAGGTCGGGGTAGTCTTGCCAATGGTCTAGCTGTTCGTCTTGGATGGCCTGTGCCGGTGGCGTCGGCGTATTTGCTGGCTCTGGTGGGATGTCGTCGTGGCTTGTGTCGCCCCATATTTCGTCATTCTTGGATTTCTTTTTCTTGGGAGTGAGGCGCGGGGTAATCTGCTGTGGTGGAAATATTTGCACTCGGCCGTTGCACTCGCGACGCTCTTTTTCCAGGCGGTCGCATTGGGGCGTTTCGATATCTCGCCGTTGTGCCAGCTGTTGCTGCACGCACTTGGGAGGTTCACATGTGAATTCGGGCCCTTGAGGGCGCGGCAGGAAGCTGGAGGGTTCAGCCGCGATGTGCGTCAGGCTGCTGTCGTCATGTATAATGAGCATGCTTGGGTGGAGCTCCGCGATGGGCGTGGGCCCGAGGCGTCGATGGTGTAGGGCCTATGCGGAAATCGTGCTTGAATCGTGCTGTGCCCTCCCATTGATTGAGTAGTTCGCACTCGTATGTTGTGGCGCCTTCGAGTTCTATGTAGTTGGGCTGCTGGTCGGTGGCTGGCGGGGCGATGTGCCGTCGGCTTTTTCTCAGGCGTGCACATTGCCCATGGTGGGCGGAGGGCCGAAGCACCCGATGCGTGGAGCGCGTCTGCTAGGTAGTTGGTGGGCGAGAGTAACTCCGACCCCGAAGCGACGATGTGGCTTGCATCTGTCATAGAAGCAGGTGAAGGTGCGCTTCTCGAAGTCTTGTTCGTCGTACTTGATCTTCGCGTGGATGGCGTAGTCCTCGTCCATCTGGAAGTCGCATCGTTTTGTGCTCTGTTAGTCGTATAGTTTGTATAATGTCTCCTTGAGGCTCTTCTCGGCACCGTCCTCGTTGACGCGCGCGCACTTGCGGCGCGCTCTGCCGCGGTCGATGTCGTCGCTGAGCTGCTGCCAGGTGCTGTAGATAAGTGGAACTTCGCGTAAGTACCTTGGCGTTCCGTCAAAGATGAATGGCTGGCTGTCGGTTCTGTAGTCGGCTTTCCTGTAGTAGGGCATTTCCATCGGCCGCTGCGACGAGTGGAGTCCGAAACCGCGATCTGAGCAAAGGTATTTCCAGCTATTGAGGGCCGACGTGAGTCGATCGTGCAATCGATTGAAGTAGTGCTTGTAAATATCTGGTAAGCATGTAATCATAATGTGTGCCTCCCTTCCGGCTTTGGCCAATCCCTTGCTGGTCGGCAACGGGAAGGTATTCATGGCCAGTCGTAGTGAGATGTACACGTAGCACCCTCGATGTCGCCCTCGGTGACCAGGCCTTGTCTGCCTGGTTCAACGTGTGTTTTCAGTGATCGAGCGCAGCCAGGGTCGTATATAGATGGTTTGGCGGTGCGTGGCATGTCTGGCCTGTTGGTCCTGCTGCGAGTGCGTAGTAGAGGTGGTACTGTCTCGCTTGCGCCGTCGGTGTGCTGGCCGTTGGATTGGCGGTATATTGAGTCAATCATGTACTTGCGTTTGTCGTTGTCCTCATTGAGTGACCACGCCATGTGAATCGTCAAGGACGCTAGGCAAGCAAACCGAAGTGCATTAGCCCACTTACCCTCCAGGAAAACATCAATGTTGCTACTGGTCGGATTGTATGGGAGCGGCGTCGGAAGCATTGCATCGAGGATGCACGTGAGAACCAGCACGTCAGCAACAAATTTGAGCCTGATTGTAGCGGTGGCAAATGTAAGGGAAATTGGGATTGACGTCACCTGTCGTTCAAAATAAATGGCTTCCCAGATGTCACCGGTGCCTTCCCATGGCTCTGTCCCGACGCCTCTCCCCTAGGTGTGCTCCCTGGGGCCCCCGTGCCGGGTATGAGGCCAAGCTATTGTAATATGTGTAAGGCACTGTAAGAGTCATGAAATGGAATGTATGACCAGGCCTGGTGTGAGTACGTATTCGTCATGTGTGTGCGCGATGTATTGTTGTGTGATCGTAACGACATGTGTATTTAGAATTTGTATAATGATCACGGCACGCAGGGTCTTGTCAACAAAAATATGTATACCATGAAACAATTATTGGGGTCGACTGGGTTGTGTATCGAATCGTGTACTGCCCCTCTGTACTCCACCTCGTCTGCGCATGTCCCTCCTCCAAGTATGCCTCTCTGGGCTCGCATGCATGGTATGGGACTGTCGTGTGGGCCGCCGTCTGGCATCGCCTGTGTGATGTAGTGCTGGTCCGTGGTGTGCTTATGGAGGTCATGTGCTGATGATCTGATGGAGTGGGCGGGCAGCATGGCAGGAGTCACGTCGGCCGTAGGGCATTGGACAATACTGATGCCTCTCCCCCAGGTATGCCCGTTAGGGCTCCTGTGCAGGGTATGAGGCTTTCCAACGTAAGCGTCGTACTTGAGAGAGACTGCCTGCGGAAGCAATTGGTTGCTATGTAACCATCTTGCCGAGGGGGAATGAAACTGACCAGCTGTGATGTATGCAGCGGTATGGCTTATCTACAGCGGCGTGGGAGGTCGTTGCGGTTTGGTACTGTTCCCCCTCCTGTTCCTCCTCCTCCTCCTCCTCCTGCTCCTCCTCCTCCTCCTGCTCCTCGTCCTGCTCCTTTTCCTGCTCCTCCTGCTCCTCCTTCTCCTCCTTCTCCTTCTCCTCCTCCTCCTCCTCCTCATCGACTCGTTCTCCTCATGCAAAGCTTCTCCCTGTAGAGCGGGACGGGCGTTTCGCCTGAGACTTCCTTACCAAGTATGACCCTGGAACTTAAACATTGGCAACCGTTTCACATATGGGGCACGGGTGGTTTTCAGACTGTGGCTCTCGCCTTAGCGCCGCGCACATTCGTTTTAAGAATTTGCGAAAATTTCACGGATTGAGGGACACCCGTTTTCAAAATGTGGTTCTCGCCTTAGCGCCGAGCCCATTCGTTTCAAACATTTGCAAGAGCTGATCGGATTGAGGGCGACCCGTTTTCAGAATGTGGCTCTCGCCTGAGCGCCGCGCACATTCGAATCAAAAAATCCCAAGAGTTTCACGGATTGAGGGCCGCCCGTTTTCAAAATGTAGCTCTCGCCTTAGCGCCGCGCGCATTCGTTTCAAATGTTTGCAAGAGTTTAGCGGATTGAGGGTCACCCGTTTTCAACATGTGGTTCTCGCATTAGCGCCGCGCACATTCGTCTTAAAAGTTTGCAAGAGCTTCACATATTGAGGGCGCCCCCTTTTCAACATGTGGCTCTCGCATTAGCGCCGCGCACATTCGTGTTAAAAACGTGTAAGAGTTTCACGGGTTCCCATGATCGACGTACCAGAAATTGTGTTTTGGAAGGATTCAGGATTATGAGGGTGCAACAGTTAGGTTGATTCGCAGTGGTCCCAAGAATGGCGTTCTGGTACGATTCGGGATCGTCCAGACCCAACAGTCAGGTTGCTCCGTGGCGTTGAAATCCCGAGAACAACGTTTTGGCAGTCTTCCGTGTCTTCAAACGGTTGTCTTCCAACGAGTTTGTTCCCTCAGTGGAAATGAACCCTTGTAGGGGCCTGTGAAGAGGGAGCTGGGAGGTAGGGTTTATTCCAACATCTCTGATGACCCTTAGGTTTACACTGGCCCTCATCCTTTTCCTCATCCTCCTCCTCCTCTTCCTCATCCGTCTCCTCCTCCTGGAGGGCGCAGACAGAGCGCCTCCGGCTCCAATCGCGGACCCAGCGGGGGTGGCCGCCGGGGGCCGTCCTAAGATGGAGCCCTCGGGCTGCGAGGTCACAAGAAGACAAACGCAGGCCCGAGGGCCGCACAGCCGAGGCGGGGAGAGCCCCGGCGTCCAGGCGCACTAGGTGCAGAAGATCGAAGACTTGACGGACGCGCGTGAGCGACCACGCCTGTTCGCGACGGGGATCTACACATCGAGTAAGAGATCGACTAGATAATTGATTTACACCTAACTCTAGTCCTGCCGAATCCACAAACAATACTTATCATGCACGCAGATGTGCGAACAGTTTACGCATGTTTCTTAGACTCGACGTAAAACCAAATTTCGGGTCACTTAACTTGGTAGTCGATCCCCTACTCGAATACATAACCACCGCCTGGAAGATCGACTTTCGCGGACCTACACAGGCGGGGGATATGGATATAGTTTGCGCCGACGACTGCGGGTCCACTAGTGAGCCAATCTGCCCAAAACCCTCTCACTTTCTCAACGCTCGCGCCCGACGCCTCAGGGTAGGGCGAGCTACCTGGACCATGCCACGTTCGGGGCCAGGGGCTGTACCTGACAGGCACTTCGCTATAATCACTTTACCTCCAGGGCCCTCGGCAGCAAAAAACTCTTGCATATTTGCGAAGCGATCACAGCCAGACAGAAGCACAAGAGAGCAATAAGTAAGAGTTGGTGCCCCAGCTGGCGGCTTCGGTGTGAATGGCTGACATGTCTTTGCCCTTGCCCGCACACAACGTCGAGGGCCGAACACTTGACCCATGTGGCGCTAGACCTGAACCCTCGGATTGCACTACATATCCGCCCAAGCCGCCTCCCTCGGAGAACCGCATGCAGCCCTGCTTCAATCCGCGGATCTGGCGCACGTGGCTCTCACGCAACACCACCGCGAACTGATTCACGTCCAATGCCTCCAAGACCGCCTGCGCCACACTCGTTTAACTTGACACTGGCAGGACAGGATTACGAAGCATTGCGCGACTGTATCTGACTCTCGATAAGTGCACATCGAGCCAGGAAACTAAACCATGAGCGTCCCCTCAGCCTGGAACTGTCCCCCCGAATTCCTCCACCTTTTCCTCCTCCTCCGCCTCTTCCTCCTTTTCATCATCATCGTCATCGTCGCCATCGTCATCACCATCATCGTAGACGTTTCCCCCCTCTGTTTGAATTGTGGCGCAAAGGAGGGGTAGTGTGACTTCACCGGCAAAGTGTGTACCAGCAGTTGGAAGCTACAGTGAGGCTCGCGCCAGAAACGGCTGGGCGCACGCGGCAACGACGATAAGGCATCTGACAGAAAAAGGACCAGGGACAAGAAGGGAACCCGAACACGCACACTGTTACCATCCATGAGGAGCCCAGCGGCAAGAACGGGTGACAACAGAGCGCAGAGAAGCCAGAAGAGGCAGAGGAGGAGGGGAGGAGGAGGACCGAGGAGGCAAGGCAGCGCGCCCCGGAGAGCGCGCGGAGCAACTAACTACAACAAATTAATCTGGCCCGCCCGGGCGTTTCAGCAGGCGCCGCCGCACAGCCGCTCGCCACGCCGCCTCGCGGCCAACGGCGCGCGGGGCATCCAGGAGCAGCAGGCCGGCCGCCCGCGGGGGCAGGAGCGAAAATCGCCCTTGCCACGACGGCCGCCCCTTGGCCCAGCGCCGCGCGCGCGGGCCCCTGCCCTGCCTGCGGGGCCGCCGCGGCCACCACCGCAGCGTCGTCCGCCACGCGGGGCGCGCGGCGGCGGCGACGCCCCGCCTGCGTCCAGCGCCGCCACACGCGCGGGCCTCCAGGGCGGTGCCCATGCACTTCGTGAGGGGGCGGATCAACGTCCATCCTATCGGGAGGCGGAGGATCCTCGACGACATGGTCGTCCAGAGTCCTCGTACCTTCCTCCTGAATCGGCCCCAACTTGTCCTCTTCTCTCTGCGGCGAACTGGGTTCCATTTTCACGTCGGGCAGGCCCTGGGCCCGCTCGGCGTGCTGCAAAGTTTCTTCGTGAAATCCCTCGGAAGTAGATCCTCCGAGGTCGGGCGGCACAGAATCGTCCGAATGGGGTGACGCCGGGGCTGGCCGCTGTTGCTCTGCAGCGGCAGCGGCACCGGCATCAGCTTGCCGTTGTCGCTCTGCAGTGGCAGCCTCACTGGCAGCAGCTAGCTCCTGGAGCCAACGGAGTCGCAACGCCAGCCCCTCCGATGCTCCGGTAGCGTAACTGCCAGTCACCTGCTGATCCATGCCGCCCGAGCCATGGGCTGGCTCGCGGGTTGGAATCTCCGCCTGTGGGGGGCGATTGGCCGCCTCACGCTCCTCGCGCGCTCTGCGCAGGCGATCTTCCAATCCCGCCATGTTCTCGCTGGCGTAGTCGCCCGGTGCCTGCTGCTCCCGGCCATCCGCGTGGGCTGCGGCAGAGCCCGGGTGAGGCGCAGCAGGCGCTCTCTTCTGCCTCGGATGTGTCGTAGGCGGGGGTTTGCTCTGCTCCCCTGCCGGCGAGTAACTGCTCGGGGGCGGCGACGGCGGCGCGCGAGCACCCGTCGGCCGTGGCTTCCATCCCGGAGGCGGGGGTTTCCCCGTTGGCAGATTCGAAGGCGGCTCCTTCCGCGGCGGCGCCTGCGAGGGCGGAGCCGTCGAGGTCCGTGCCGGCCGCGGGGGCGCTCCCGGCGGAACCACTCTCCGAGGAGGCGGTTGGTATTGCGGGGCAGTGCCCGGGGCCTGAGGCTTAGGAGCACGACCCTCGCCGTGGGCGTAGGATGGCGGAGGTGCGCCCGGAGCCCGGGGCTTCGGCGCCGGCCCCTCGCCATAGGCAGTGCAGGGTGGAGGCGCAAAGGGAGCCTGGGGCTCCGCCGAGCGGCCTTCGTTTGATGCGTGGCGCGGCGGGGGCGCGCCGGGGGCCTGTGGCTTCGGCGGACGGCCCGCGCCAGAGTCAGAACGCGGCGGGGGCGCCCCAGGAGCCTGCGGCTTCGATGGGCGGCCTTCGCCACGGGCGGTATAAGGCGGAGGGGCCCCAGGAGCCCGGGGGTTCGGCGGCGCCTTCTGCGGCGGGGCGCCACCGGGAGGTGCTTTCGGCGGCGGCGAGGGAGGTCTTCTTCGCCGTCTGTCCTCTCGATGACTGTCCTGAACCTTCCGCCCTTGTGCGATTCCACCGGCCCGAGGGAGGGCCGTCCCTGGTCGGTGCATGGCGCGCTGCCGAGGGGGCTGCCTTCTGTGCGAGGTTAGTGCGCCCTCTCGTCGCGCCTCAGCTGCCGACGAAGGTTGACGCACGCCGACGGCGCAAGGTAGAGGGGACTCGGGTCTAACTCACAGTCGGGAAGGCGGCGCTGCTCGGGGTCAGGAGACGTAGTCAGAGCGCTTCAGCCACTCGTGATGCACAAGGCTGTCCGCGCACTCGACCTGGTAGTCCTGTTTGTGCAACGCCCTGCGGCCCTCCAAAGTGGCGAGCGGCCATGGGTCGCCTTCCAATGCGGGGCGCTGGCGCGGGTGCCAAACGCCGCGGTAAGTCGGAAAGTCCTTCGCGTGAGCCTCCAGGTCTTCAAACGTGGCTCCCTCGAAAGAGGTCATCGATCCGACATCATGTCGTAGCATCCTCTTGCCCAGCACGCTGTCAGCGAGGGGCTCGTTCTCCCTCGCAGGATAGCGGATGCGCGCAGCAGGCCCTGGCTGAACATGGCCAGGATCGCCTGCAGAGCCAATCCAATCGACACGGTCGGGGAACGCGGCGCGGATGGAGTAAAACATGTCGGCGATGAGGATCCCCAGGCGTTCTCGTGTCTAAAATCTCGTAGAGCTTGTCGGTTGGTTCTTGCAACCACGCGTGGAGCAGGGCCTCGTTTTGTTATTGGGTGAGGAATGGCTGGGTGATGCGGTACTCCATGGGAGCTTTCGCATCCAACCAGGGCGCTGTAACAACAGCGCTCAAGTCCTCGATCCTACGTCGACCACCCAGTTCGCGGGGAACCTCCCAGACTGACATCTTGCCACGAAGGACAGGGAGGTCCTTTATGCCAGGCTCCAATCCCCCAACCCAGGGTACGTTGCCGGAACTGGCGGAACTTCAGATGGCGTCGTACATGTCCGGCGGGAGGTTCACCGTGGGACGATAGATCAGCTTCTTGAAGATCTGCGCGAGCAATCCGACTTCATCGAGCCCCTTGTTAGGCATCCTTGCCAGCTTGTCCGCGTGCATGGTACGATACACTTCGCGGAACTCGTTCGTCAGTGCTTGTTCTGGCTGGAGCCCCAGTACATGGTACAGATTGGGGGTCTTGCTCCATGGTTGCGTGTGTGGTGCGAACGCACCCCCAAGCTGGATCGGCGTGGGCGGCATGGCGCCCCCGTGATCGTTGCTCTCATCCGCTCCCTGGGTCTTATTGAAATAGTGCAACTCCACATCCTGCCATTGGCCATTCGGGAGTTCATATTGATTTTGGACGATTCGTATCGTACTCCGTTGCACACCCCGAGCGGTAACAACGCTCAAGATTGGTATATCCCAGGATGCTCTTGGCGAGGTGCAGGAGATCCGTTGCTTCTTTGATGAGGTTCGTGAGCTTTGCTTCGTCACTCATCTCCGTAGACCGCATGATCCCCACGATCGGCCCGTGCCCGAACGCGCTCGGGCAGTCCAGGCCGCGCTGGAACATCTGCCCCAGAACCCGCGCAGGCCGCCGTGCGCGATGCAGGACATGGTCCTTTTCGAGTCTCTTATGAAGAGACACTGGTCGGAGCTGGGGCATACGATGCCCTCCTTCGCGTGACTTGCGGACCTGCGGGGCCCGCGACCGAGGGATGTCGGCGCAACTGAAGGCGCCGGCGCGGGAGCTGCGAGGCGCCGGCGAGCAGCGGCGGCGCGAGCAGGGCGTCATGGCATGGCTGGCGAGGCAGCCGCGTCGGGAGGCTGCGCGGGGGCACCGGCTTGAGCCGAAACGGCAGCGGTAGCAAGCATATGCGCACGCACGACGGCAGGAGCGGCATGCAACGGGGCACGGTACATGGTACCAGCACGTGCACCGCCCCCAAGTGCCCTCAACGCCAACAGATGTACACGTCTCGCAAACTCATCCGTGTAATCTTCCGCCTGCTTGTAATCCTTCCCTAGCCTCGACATGCATGTGGCTACCATCGCACCGACGTGCTAATCCCTCAGCAATCACGTTCAAGGATGAAGCGATGCTCCATGGCTTCTTCATGTATTGTCATTTTTTCAAGCCGTATGCGCAGCCGTGGAGTTGTATATTTGTCATTTTATGCTTGTTCAAAAACTCCTTCACGTGTGGATCATGCCAGCATCGGCACGGGGTCGGCCACTCAAGGCATATTTGGCCATTTCTCCTATCAACTTCCTGGGCCAAATCGCGAGCTACCCATAACAGCTTCCTGAAAAGTGTTGCGTGACCCCTCAATTTATTGAGAGCTTTCTCGTTGCCGGAACGGTGATATATTGCCTCATTTACGCATTGTCATGGGGGTCCGCCCGTACATGGCATTGAGATCCACAGTGGTATTCGTTTGTCCGCGGCTTGTCATTGCCTTTTTTTCATCTCTTTTTCGAACTCCTCTATTCTAGCCGTGGCAAACGCTTTGCCTTCCTTGGTGGTCATGTCTTCGTTTTCTGTCAAACGCACCACCGTGCAGTGCTGGTCGGGGATGAAAGCTTGATTCCCCAGCTGGCTGTTAGGCCCGCAGCAAAACTCTATGAATAGGCGTTGTCGGGATGTTTCGCTGGAGCCGGCAGCGGCATCAGGAGCAGCAGCGATAGCATGGCTACGAGTTGCACTCCGCTGTTCTTCGGTCGCCTCCGCTGGTGTTCCCGCTCGGTTATGAACCCTGGGGTTGGCGGGTGAGTCAGCAGAGGGTTTGCCTCCGTTTTGACGTTTTGGCTTCTTCTTGGCCTTCTTGCCGGGAATCTTGCCGCCGTTCCGAAGTTGGGCTGTGCGCCGAGCTTCGGCTCGAGAATCCCCCCGGGCTTCAGGGGGAGACCCGCGTCGCCTTCAAAGAGAGAGTCCAAATGCTGTTGATAGGACGGGGCAGTCCAGAAGGTCGGGGCCACGACCTGCACAAGATAGAGCACCTAGGTCCACGAGGGAGGCTGCTCAAAACGCTTGGTGCCTATGTCCGCGGCCTGATCGCATGTGGGACAATAAACTAGGTTCACCGTGCCTTTGGCGAATTGTTCCGCCACAGCGGAAGCGTCGATTCGGTGAGCACGCGGCAGGTGCATAAGTTTTTGAAAGCCACCTTACAAACCTTCACAGCGGCTTGGTTATCTTTCATGAACTCCGCCCTCAGCGCACGGCCGAGTAGCATCTCCCACAATGGAAGCGCCGGCAGGAGGTCTCTTCTGAGTGCTTCGTCGGTTGAGACAGCTTCCGCTTCTAATGTGCTATGAGACACCGCGGTCTGTCTGCGGGCATTGCAGCTCTGAAGCGCCCGTGTATTCGGTCCCCACAAGAATTGTGTGTTCGCGCTGGTGCTGCGATGCGTGCGTATGTCACTCGCCAAATCGGCATCCGCAAATTGGCGCATCCACACGTCCTCACGTCGATCTCCCACCCAGGACACCAGGCGGTAGTGAGTCGTAGCCTCCAGATATCAGAATGTGGAACAAATATATATCCTGTTGTTCCGTCCATTTAGCGACGCACGCGGCTGTCTTGCAGACAGCGCTGAGCAGATCAGGGCGCGCCGTGCGTGCTGCTCCGTGCAGGATCTTCATCAGGACTTTAGCTGCAATTTGTTGCAGGGTTCCTGACGGAGCAGGAGGCTTGGGATCAGGGGCTGGCGGGCCCTCCATGGGAGGGCCACCCGCGTGAACCTCAGCGCCAAGAGGCCCGACGACTGCATCAATGTGTAGGCACGCAGCCAGGGCCTCTCCGGCAGGGGCCAAGACCTCACCGCGCGGGCCACCCTGACCGCCCTCGAGGGACGTTAACTCAGGGCCACAGGGCGTGCCCGACAGCGGGTAGGCGTCTTGGTCAGTGTCCGTGAGATCTGCGTGCCAGGAGACGCAGGACTTGAAGAACTCGGCCATATCATATTCCAGTATTCGCACTTTCTTCTTGGTCCTGGCATGTACTCAGACGTCGGAAGCGGTGGCGGCGGAGCTGGGGCCGCGCGCCGTACTTCCCGAAACCAGTCCTTGTCTGCGGGGCTCTGGGGCGTGAAGATGGCGGCTCCAACATCATCGTCTCGAAACGCGAATATTGCGATCGCGTCGCGTTGTCCGCCAGGGAGCGGTGCCCGGAAACACTTCTCAGCGGCGGCGGCTGAATTCGCCGCCATCCCGCCAGCATAGGCATTGTCATCGAGCTCCTCCCATGAGCCGTGATCAAACGTGATTCTTCGGGTGACCTTGCGCCCTTCAGGGCCGCCCGGCAGGGGTGTACGGTACCTCATTGTGTTAGCACCGTATCTCACCCATGCACCGTGTCCCTTGGGGACATGGAGTGATCTGTCGCAGTGGATCGGGGTTGCACTGTCGTGCACCGTGGGCAAGTGCAGCCGGCTGTTGCTCGGAGTCAGCTAGGCCTTTTGTTTTCTGTGCCTTAGGCGGCGGCGGGTCCAACATGGTCCGCCACGCCTTGCCAGTCAACCCACTTCTCAGAAACCCTATGTTCGCATCCATGATACCTTCCCACCGGGGTTGGTGGGTCCATGTCAATTCCCTCTGGGGCCGTCTCGGATGGACTCAGAATCAAACCCCAACCCGTCTTCAGATTGCGAGAGAAGGGCTCGCGAGTTTGAAGTCATCTACATATACGATCAGAAATAGCTCGCGTTCTGGATGATAATAACAGCTTCTCCAACAGGGAATCGGAACGAATCTCGTGGACATGACGTGGGCCTCGCAGTGTTGTTCCCAGAAACCGCCTGCATCAGGGCGCCCATACAACGCCAACAACAATCATTCCTGCCCAGCTCTCCGGCCGAGCTTACCTGGGCAATCGCACCCGAGTCGGGGTGCCCCCGAATTTGGATTGCGCGTAGGTCTGCCGAGCGTCAGCTTGTTGTATGTCGTGATCCTCAAACAGGCCGTATGTGTCGGCAGCCTTGCTGGCCACATCGGAGCCGTCAAATACGACCCCCCCCTTGAATTTGCGATCTTTGTGCTCCTCAGGAAGTTCAGCACTCTTCTCAACTAGGATCGCAAACAGTCTCCCGATGTGAAAGGTTTTACATGTCATCTTTGCCTTAACATCACAGAGCTCTTGAACTCTGTATTCATCCCATGTCTTGATCTTTCTCAGACGCCCCCATTCATCCATCAATGCTTCCTGGGCCTTTTCGCTGTTGGCCGCCTCCGCCTTGGCGACAGGGCGGGCGACGCAGGCATAGTATCTGATCTTAGAGTCGCGCGATTCTGATGGAAGAGCGGAGATCGCCCCCCGTTCACCGGCATGCATGGAGTCCGTGAACGGGTTGTAGCATGGCCGGCAAGCCGGTTCCTTAAGTCCCTTCTCCCGGCGAGCGTCGTGGCCCGCATCTCTCCCACGGAGGTGCGCGCGATGAACGCCGCGACGCCTTGTCGCGGCCGCGCAGTCTAAAGCCGCGCGGCCCCAGTCACTTTCATTGTCGGTGCTCGAGGGCCGCCCATGGAGCGACCCTGTTTCTTCATCTGCTGTGCACGTTTCTGTGCACCACGCTTGGAAGTCTTTCAACGCATCCTCGTCTGTCTGTCCCGTGCTGGACTGGGCAACAGCAGCCATGATGTTGGTCGGTGCTGGCCGAGGCACATCGAT